GTAGTTTGTTTGCAAGGAGGACAGTGTATTTTATTTGGTTATTTAGTATTGTATATGAATTTTTTTTGGTTGTTTGATTACATTGTAAATACTGAACACTACGTACCTTTGCTACAGCAGGTGCAAGAATTTTTGTAGACCTGCATCTGTTTTATATCTTTTTTGTTTTGTTGTTTTTATCTATTATTATTCATAAGTTTACGAAGGATGTCCGTAAACTGGTGGGGGGGAGTTAAGGTACGGAGCGGGATAGTATTAGCGTTAATACCAAATGCAGTGATGTAAACAATCTCAGAATGTATTTATAGAGGATTAGAAGGAGAAATCAACCAATCTTGATTTCGTCTTCATGCCTGTTGTTTCTTAAACCTATTACTTTTTTTTAAGTGTTTCAAGCCCGCTACGCTTAACTTATATATATATATATATATATATATATATATATATATAAAGTGTGTAGAAGCTAAAACAAGAATTTCTAATGATCGAAAAGAAAAACTGAATATATATATATATATATATATATAAGTCAAATAAGATATAATAATTTAGGTTTTTTTATCTTAATAAATTTGAAATTTGGGCCATTCTACTAAAAATCTAGTTTCTGGATACCTGATGGATATTTTATTGTAAATTTCAGAAAATGTCAATATTATTAGACTTTCGCGAGCAAAATAATATTTTCTTTTTTTTTATACTTGTACATGGAACAGGATTCAGAACTTCAACATAAAATTCAGTATGAAATTATTTTATCTTAGCTTATTTTTTAAACGCTTTTGTTTACTCATACCGGTTGATTGTCGTCCATGAATTGTTCTTTATTTTCCTTATAGCTCTTCATTCTAATAATTGATAATTTTTTTACTGTACATCCTACCGATTTTTTATCTTTCCTTTTTTATTTTAAAAAATCTTGGTATATATTTTCATCGTCCAATTCATATAAACATCTCATAATTCATATTGTGTTTACAAGGAAAGGATGAAAGGGAATAGTTTGTATGAATCAAAATTAATTCCAGATTTATTTTATTCCTAACCGAGCTTTATATTTTCATCGAATGTTATATTTGTTTCATTTCAGTTTCGAAGATGCCTCCGAAAAGATCTTACAATCATCTGATAAACAAATTGATATGTCAAAATAGTATAAAATTTCTCCAAGATCACCTCTAAGACATTAGACAGTAAATAAAACACTTAAAGATTGTTCAGTACTCTCAACTTTTTTGTCAATCCTGCTTTATTACAGATTATTGGTAAATAAAGTAATTTGAACATCTCTATAACTCATATTTATTGCTTCCTCACTACCGAAGGTAGGGAAGCATTGTGTTCGTGCGAGAGATTAAAAAAAATTTTTTGCTCAGAATCGAAAGTTTTCACTCGCGTTTTACGTTTCAGACATCAAGGATCAAATTTGGTTCGGTGTCTGTCTGTCTGTCTGTCGGTCTGTCTGTCCGTATGTCTGTCTGTCTGTCTGTAGTCAAATCGATGTGACGGGCTTATCACCTAGTACCGTTCATCCTATCTTCATGAAATTTTCAGAGATTATTCTGATTGGTGCCTAAATGGTCCCATATCAATTTTATCAAATTCGATCCAGCACTTCCGCTTACGCACGAGCAAACGTATATTTTTAGATATGCCAATATTTCAGAAAGAGATTGTTCGATTTGGCTCAAAGTTAGATAAAAGGTAGACTTTGGTAAAAAAATTACGTAGGGTCAATTTTATTGAATTCTGTCCACCACTTTCTCTTATATATGCACTACTAGTCCGCTGTCCGCCGTCCGCGCATTGCCCTGGACCGATTTTTTTAGAATTTGGATATAAAATCAGAGGTCACCAGAGGATAATCCTCCTTCAACGACATTACTATTCGCCTTCTCGATTCAAAATGGCGGCCGAAAAACCTGCGTTGCTATAGTCTGTAGCGCCTAAACGAATGTACCGATTTTAATGAAACTTCGCTAAAATCATTTTATCTACGCCATTTAAATTTATCCGTATAACATATTTCAACGAAAAGAAGCTAAAAAAAAAAGTTACGAGGGATGATAAAATTAAATTCCGAATAACTCAAGAAATATACCCATTTTTGTGATTATTGTATATGGTTATTTAAAGGTTTGCGGAATTTCCTAAAAAAAAAAAAAAATCGTTAAAATCGGACAATTAGCACTAAGTGTGATTTTCCCAATCCTGGATCACCAACAACAACAAGAACATGAATTAATTTTTTTGTTTTTTAATTATGGGTGTTTTTACGAATTTTCAAAAACCATCACCCATTTTGGAAGCTCGATCGGCAGGTGTCCCGCCCATTGAAAATTAATTTTCTATCGTTTTCTCATATAGGAGATTATTTAAATTAAATTATTCTTTCTTTTTAGTGTTTAAATGACTGGGTCGAAATAGGATCTATAATGAAATCTAAATACTGAAGATTGGGAGGGGAGTATTCCTAAACCGTCCAAATAAATAAAATACTATTAATTAAGAGTGTTCAATTCGCTAAACTAGAACTACGGACATCAATTGGGAAAAATAATGAAATAGATTAGCTTTAAGTGGAAGTTATTAATAAAATCCTGGAATGTTGTCACTACTTCTTTTTTTTTACCTTTATTTGTAGTTACCATTAGCTTTTCTAATTTTATCTTGTGAAAGAACCATCGGTTTTCTCTGTTCAGGAAATTTTCCGACTGTATAGAGATAGCCAGCCCAAAGAAAATATTTGATTTACGAATTATCTGAAGTTTCATTTGTTTTTTCTCTTATATCTCATGAATGGATGATCAATTTTCACCGGTCCTACAATTTACAGATTGTTGAGTGATGACAAAAAATGGTAGAATGGTGTGAACATTTTTAGCCGGGAGGTGTTTTGAAAAGAATGTTAAACGGTGGGCCAGAACCGTTTATAGATATAAAAAACAGATAATTAGTCTTTTTTTTTAACTTATGCATGTTTTTTACGAATTTTCAAAACCATTACCCATTTTGAAAGCTCGATAGTTCTTTTCCTTTTAGGTTTAGAAAATATGATAGATAATTCTAAGTTGTTCAAGAGATTGAATATAACTATTTCGTATCTATGTTTCTTTAAAAAGGAGATATTTAGTAGCGTAAACCAAAACATGTTCGAAATTTTAATAGATTTTGGAGCACCGCAACAAACTCACGCGGCTTTCAAGGGTGGAAACTTGGATTTTTATATCCACTACCTACCTGACAATACAAAGAAGGAATTTTAATTACACGACCTTTTGCAAGCTAGGTCCCTTTTTGGTGCTATTTAGCCTATTTATGACAGCCACGCCGGACCATCTCCTTCCTTTTAAAATCCGATTAGTTCCTAACGATCAACAATTGGAAGCACCGGCCGGTAATTTTACCTCTTGAGTTGAACCATTGAAGTTTGTCCTTCATACCATTGTTCCTGCCGGCAGCCGAAGGTACCTCAGTACTCGCAAGGTAGGTGGGTAATAAATATTATCGACAGCAATAAATTCACTAGATATTATTTATAGCAAGTATTGCAGACACACTTGTTCCCAGTAGCGTTTGCAAAATCTTTTACCTAACCCATGAATTTCGTTTTCAATGCGAACGTTCATTTCCTCTTTATTTGTTAAAATATTCAATTGATATTTTTTTAAATAATTAAATATTAAATTTCAATTAATGATTTAGATCTCAGTGAAAACATATTTTGTTATGAAATATCCAAAATATTGCCAATCTAGGCATCTTCAGGAATATCATCTAGTAATAAAATCTGTTGTTAATATATTATACATACGTGTCGCGGTGTTCAGCCCAATCGAATCATACTCCAAAGTGATGTTAAGGAAGGAAATATGTATTACGTTCGAGGTTAAAAGACTAAATCCAGGGTGACAGAGTATCTCCTATTTTATTCAAAACAGGGCTATATAAAATTATGAAGATATTCTCGAAATCCAACTAGTCTGAAGCTATTTAAAGGGATGAATGAGGTAGAACTCAGTCAGATATTAAGCATTGCTGGGCGAGAATAACTTTAAGACACGCTGGCTGTAATCAGACCTGGTCCACATAGTTCTTATGATAAGATTATCATTTATTACAAGGAAGTTCAAAAACCTATTCTAAAGTTCATATATGAATTTAATATTTCTATGAAAATCCTTCAAACCTATGAAAAACTTTCAAGCCCATCTAACTTATATATCATGAGCATTTTTCAGCTATCTTTCATATTTTTGGCCTAAAATCGGTTTTCGGCCAAAACGAAGGCCATCTAACTATCGCAAGGCCAATACCAGAAATGGTAAAAAAAAATAATTTTTAAAAAAATAAAATTTAAGGAAAAATGGTTACTAATACTTGACAATCTTAGTTACTATATGTTAATAATTGGTTTAACCAAATACTTTTGCACTTAACTCCTCTAATCTTTTATTCTGGTTTAGTTAGGTTTCTCCTATTCCCAAGATTATGACTAATATTGAGTTTGCAAGACCAAGACTCGTTTCGGTCTCGCATTTGGGCAACACTAGTCACTACCTCTAATTATGATCCTTAATGCTTGTAGAAAGTTTCAAATTGGTCATCAGCCAAGCCATTACTTTGTAAATATTTTTAAATTAAAATATGAATATTTATAAAAAGGACCAGTTTCTTAAATTAAGATTTTCTAAAATAACACAACCTTTTATGTTAATCCAAAATTTTAATTTAAAAAACAATAATTCTAACTATGTGCAACAGACAAGGGAATGGGTAAAATAAGTAAGTAATACAATTTTTAATATACAAAATTTATTTTTAATAAAGATATAATAAAATACAGTTGGCATATTTTCTTTTTTTTATTTAATCAGAATAAATATAATTCCATTTTAACAGTCCATTTACACCAACAAAATTTAAATTACATAAGTTCAAAAGTTTTAATAATAAGATACAATTTACATCAATTTGTACATATTTAATAAGAATAACTATATATCTTTATCAACAGTCATATTAACAAAATTTCTACCATCAAATAAAAATTACATAAATCGAAAAATGTAAATAATAAAATATAATTAAAATTATATGAATATGTAATCATAATGTTACATCAGAAATAACATTGGCGATTAGATTACAGAGGTCATTCAGGAAGAGTTCCCTGTTAGGCCCAGGCAAGGAAGCGACAAAAGTGATCAATGCGTCGCTGTAGCTGAGGGGCACGTCGTGGCTTCTGTCGGGGTCAGCGTAGCTCTCGGGGTCCTAATAGCAAACAGAAAGTAACCGTTAATAATCGTGATGGCATTGCACATAGTAGAAAATATCATCGATTAGTTGAAAACAATTAAAAGATATTTACCATTCTAAAGTGTTCTAATCTCAACAGTTGCCAGCTCAACTTGCTGTGTTCGCCGAGCATCCATTGAGCGCCACCCCTATACAGGTCCTGCACATCATGAAGTTTTTTGATGATGGCTCCTCTCTTGGAGGTGGAAAAGAACTCCAAAGCGTTAGCGACGAAGCTCCCCATTCGAAGTGTCCTCCACTGGTTTAAGCTTTTGTTAAATCGACGATCTGAAATACAAAAAAAATTAAATAGTTTTACAAATATCCAGAAAAGTATATGTGCATTTATAATAATAATGCAATATTTTAAGGCTTATTATTATTTGGAATAGAAGAAACTATATACACACTATATACAATATATACACACCTGTGGAAGACCGTGAGCTGCAATGTTTCTCCATGCTGTAGTTGGCAAAGTAGCTGAACAGATAGTGAATGCTCTGGCCCTGTTGAGGGCTCCAGCAATGGGGGGCGGATGGTGGGGGAACTACCTCCTTCCGAGCATTTTCATTGGCTGTAGTGTTCCACCTCCATATGGTTAGCTCCCTCCTCTCCTCGAAGGAGATTGATATTATTAATGACTGTTCCAATTACAAATTAATAAAGAAATTGCACTAAAGTTAACCTCCAATTAGTTTTTTTTTAATTCCCGCGTGGTTTGAGTAAAAAATATAACAGGAATTTATATGTTTCTTAATCAAGCTTAAATAAGATTAAGGCAGCAGGACAGCTTAGAGAGTAAGGCATGTGCTCTTATTCTCAGGGATTCAGGTACAAGCCCGGCTATGATAGATAACTATGTTAAAATAATGCAAAGCCGGTTCTGACCTGAGTTGACTGAAATATTTCGAAACGATCTCACGAAATGGATTTCGATCCATCCCACTTTTGTTAGAATAGGTTTAGTAAAAAATTCTAAAACAACCTTTGGTATGCCTAAAAAGACGGACTTGAATACTTAAAACTGAAAGATCAAGAGTTCCTATAAAAGTCTCGTACATTTATTTACGAATCTATATTTTAATAACTTCCATTACATCTCTATTATGTATATCAACTCCACAGGACCTCGGAACTACCGACTATGACAGACTTTATTTAACCCTGGCACTTCAAATTGTTTGATAGCCTTCAATAGGCGACTAATCCGTTGTTCAGGACATTAATTCCGACTGGACGGCCGCAGTGGTGTCAAACACTTACAAATAGCTTCAGACAACACTAAGGACTTACGAGCTTACTGGACTTTTTTTTCACCCCTTCCTCATCTTTTAGAATTTCCAGCCAGTAGAAAGTAGATTAACGAGTTAAAGTTATTAATTTAATAATTTTTTATTATTTAAACTTTTACAGGTTGCGGGGTTGAGCGAGTTTTCTTACTCTTGTTAGCCTGCTAGCTAGTTGTTTTGAAAAATACCTTAAACAAAAAATTACATTAAAGTTTTTATTTATAATAATATTTTATTGAGAAAAATATATATATTGCCTCAATTAAGGGCATTGAGTATTTAGGATGAATGAAACACAAACATACCATATATACAATAAAAAAAAAAAAACAAGATTATAACAATATAAAATAAAATAAAACTTGGAGTACAGAATAAATCAAACATGATACAACATCAAATAAAAAATAAAAAAAATAAGAAAAACACATTCATACTTATTTACAATATTTACAGTCAGCCGAGGGAGCTCCGAGTCGGGCCTTCCCAGGTGTGGAGGATAAATAAGGCAAGACTCCACGAGATCCCAGCGCCTCTCTCTCAGCCACATCTCTAGGATGGGAATCCAGTGGAGACTAAGAGAGGGCACTAAAGCCACATACGCTCATGACTTGAGTGGAGAAGCTGGCCATCTCCAGGATTCCAATGAAATCTTAACAAAACATCTCACTGCCGCTTCAACCTTCGAGGAGGATTGTAGCGATGACTGGAACTGGATAAGGATTGTGATAAGGGATTATCATAATGGATTAGGTTCTGATGAAAATTTGGAAATCGGAATGAAATAACGTCAATGACATAAGGGATGTTAAGGTCATGATGTAAGGTTTTGTTCGTGACATAATAAGGAGCATTGACTATTATAAGGAGGACTTTAGACTGGAAGGATTGGATGCGTTTGATGTTCGAAAATTTAGTTGTCTCCCGCAGTTCATGTCCGTTGGTCCAGATGGGTTTCAGTAATGGTCTTGTATAGTTTGTTTTCAATTGAGCGGTTAGATTTTCTGTTAAGTAGTCTGTATAACTGGCCAAGTCGTCGGTCAAGCTCTTGTCTTTTAAGTCTGGTATGTGGGTTCCATGATAGCCTTTACATTAAATATTAAATCTTCATTTTCATATTTTTAAAATTTTGATTTTGTCTAACTAGATAAGAAATAAAATTTTATATTATTCTGTATATTATGATTTACAGATTATATTATAGATAGTTATATGATAATTATATTGGGTTGGCAAATAAGTCCTTTCGGTTTTTCTGTTTATTTTTATATCACTATGATACACTTCTTATCTAAAGTATTAATCAATAAGGTGGATTGTTTATTCTGTTTGTAATATGTCAACAACTATATATGTTAACTCTCGTTAAAATTAGCGTAGTACTTGCACTGTGAATATTGAAAAAATATCATTCATTATCGCCATATTTTGTTGCATTATTTTAAAAAATTTATGCGTGCTGCAGAAGCTCATAGAAAAATTTGCAGAGTTTATAGTTATGATGCCTTAACCGAATACATCTGTCAACATTGGTTTGCCGAGTTTCATTCAGGAAATTTTGACATCAATGATGCTAAACTGTTAGGTTGGCCACATGAAATTGAAAAAAGCAATGTTAGGGCCATTGTTGAGAAAAATTCCAACTGTACAAAATTGGGGGTCCCGGTGCATTCCATATGCCCGGAAGCCCTTTTTTGTGAAATATAAAACGAAACAAATGTTTTTGATGGAACACTTGTGAATAATTAATATGATTTACGTACGGTTTGATAAGGGGGCCGGTCTCGCGCCTTCTATCTGTCTCCGCCGTTCGTCCTGGGTCCAGGAAATAGCCGAAGGGCTGTAGCTCTGGAGGTCTAGTCAGGAGGTAGGTCGTAAGTCCCCTTTTTGCTCGCTTCGCTCGCTAGCATCTGACTTTTGGCCGTAGATAACGCCGTCTCAGGGAGGGGGTATTGCAGGATGAGACCGGGGTATGGACCACGGCCCCCCATGTTGTTTATGTAAGCCAATTAATATACAATGAACAATAAAACTTTGGATGTAAATCCAATATACCGCCCACCTAAATTTCGCTCAGCCAGATTTAACATTAATAACAGCAAAAACCAAAATGAATAAAAAAACGAAGTGGTGAAAGAGCGAAACAGCCTCCAACATCCAAATGTACAAGTTAAAATAAATAATATGTATATATTAATAAATTTAAGGGATAAACGCAGAGCAAGATCGAAGTGTCACAGGACTAGATATCCTTCATACAAAACGTACTATACCGAATTGACTAACAAACCAAAATCAGAAAATACAAAACTCAACAATTACTGAACCTAACTGAAAATATTACAACAACTGACAAATCACTATGGACGGCAACCAAAAAACTTCTGAAGTTTAAAGACTTTAATCACCTACTTCTTACTGAATCCCAAACCTGGTCCAAATCCCACGAAGAAAAAGCCCAATTATTCAGTCAACATCTGTTCCAAATTTTCAAAGTAAATTACAACAATGTCTATACATCCCGTTTTTCCCAGCCTGCAGGTGTTCCTCAAGGTAGTAGCCTAGGTCTTATCCTTTACACAGTTTATACAGCTGACATCCCAACCCATCCCAACACTGTCATCACCACATATGCTGATGACACATGTATCCTATCAGTTAATAACGACCCATCTATTGCATCCACATCACAAACCTTGAAGAATGGTGTCAGAACTGGAGAATTAAAATAAATTCCAATAAATCCCATCAAATTACCTTCACATTTCGTCGTAAACCAATGACTTCCTGTCCTTCAGTATCCTTTAACAACATCTCACTTATTCCTGTCGAACAAATCCGTTACCTAGGACTCCATCTGGACAAACGTCTAACTTGGAATCCTCATACCAGACTGAAACGACAAGAAACAGCTCGACGTTTTCGACTACTTCAACACTTACAAGACAAACGCTCTTACCTTCCAAATAACTATAAACGACTAATTTACATGACTATAATAAGGCCTATTTGGACTTTCGGAGTTGAGCTATGGGGCTCCACCAAACCTTCAAATTCCTCTCACATCCAATCCTTACAATCCAAAATCCTTCGTAAATCCTCAACGCTCCTTACTTTGTTACAAATAAAATCATCCATAATGACCTTAATGTTCCTTATGTATCAGATTTGGCCCAATCCAGATATCTATCCTTCCATAATAAACTTCATAACCATCTCAACCCTCTTGTTTCTAACCTTGCTTCCTATTCAATTCCTGATAATCATCCGATGCGTCTGAAAAGAAGATGGCCACGTAATCTCCTAATATAGACATATTATTAGAGTGCTACCAATGGGTAGTTTTTCAACATGTGTTTCATGTCTTTATAGCCATGTGCGAATTTACCAGATGTATTTTTTGTATACAGTTGTAAATATCATATAAATAAATTAATAAAAAATATATTAATAAATAAATACTATATAATAAATAAATATATATATATGCAATGAATATATAATTAGGAACATACATTTGCCATCTTAATGCATTGTGGAAATGTCAATGAAGTTGGACATTGACATATTTGTCCAATAACGAATGATTCGGCTCTCAAAATCGCTGCCGCGGTCAACGTCGCCGCCCACCAAGATGAGCCCAGGAACATCGACAAAAATTGAGCCGCAAACGTGAAGTGAAACCTGTACATCGTAATCCAACCGATACGTCTGTCACACATTCTCCGAGAGCTACTGTAAAAAGTGGAACAGACCACACAGGATCGAAAATCCGCAAAATGTGGGATCTGAAACGAAAAAATGATTGAACGTGTCGACGGAACGAAAACGAGAATCGCGAAATAAACCAAAAGCCGGCAGACCTTTGGCAAGCATCAATTCTCCGGAAGGAGGGTTTTGGTGAGCGGCGAATAAGACCGAATGGATTTGAAAAAATCGCGAAAACAGGGTCGTAAACACGCTAGATTCGGCCCATCTCGCTAAAACCGAATATGATGTTGCCGAATGTGCGTAGGTCGCCTCCAGATAAATGGCAGACATGATAATGTCGTTAAGCGTACTTAACGCGCGTGGCTTCTCCCTTACGACTCACACTCCCTGGGCCAGGGCGATGTGTGAAATCGAAATTGATTTCGTGAAGGATTTATTAATCGGTCGTTGACGTTCCGGCATGAAATCATCACGCTTGAGTTCAACTCGCGGGTTCCGGCTAAAACGGCTTTTGAGCGACGATCGAAAGGTCGAAACAAGAATTTTACTACAGGACTTATTTCGGAACTATGTCCTGGCCCGTCCGCCATCGCGTGAGCGAAAAACCTTACGGCGGTCCTACTACGGGTTGATATCCAAACCCGTCCGCCGTCGCGTGAGCGAGAAACTTTACGGCGGGTCTGTCCGCCATCGCGAATGCGAGAAACATTACGGCGTTTCGCGTGGATATTTCCCACGAACCGAACTTACGAATGGTAGCGGCAAGACACGGAAGTGTCGTTATCCCTAATGAATACGCGCATCCTTCCCCTCTTATATTTAAAACGCCGTGCACGAGGGTGATATACGTGGTCGGTATGGAAGCTCGCGGAGTTACGAGGCATAAAAGCGCCATGCCTGTGTTCATGGCGCGGATTCCGACTGAACGTTTCATGGAAATATTCATCACGACGAGGTGCCACAGATGATGAGCGGTTGCGACTATGATGTACAGCGTAGTGACTTCTGAATGGTGTGTCCAGGTATCTTCGATTGGCGGTGCGCGGATGCGTATGCATGAGAATTCTGCCGCTGCCTATCCTTTTTGAGTTTCCACTGCTCGCGGTAACGAACTTTCTCGGCGATGCTGCCGCGTCTTGAACGAGGAGAGAAACGCCTGTTGCAAGTGGTTTGCCGATGGGAGTGTCGACACAAGTGTGGCCGGAAAAATCGCCTGATTTCACGGAAGATTTCTCGGTTTCGAAACAGGAGCGATTTTCATTATGTAGGACACTGTGGTGCTTCTCGCCACAAAACACACGAAAACGATGACCGACAGTCCAAAATTCAATGGCCGGGCCTGAGACAATTAGGACACAGCTCAGTCGACTCGACGTACTTGCAGCGGTCTTTGATCGCCAGCGCCAAAAACCTAAAACACCGCGCCAGTGGGTGCCTTCTATTGCGATGTAGGCAGGGGTCCTTAATGGGAGAAGTGAAATTTCTCCGCGGAGATCAGTCACGCGAACATCGGCGTATCGTTGCAGTCTCACAGTTCCTAATCGAGACTTTTCGCTTAAAAGGAGAGTTAAACGGAGGACCAGCTTTCCTCCTGTCGAGTACTGGGCGCGCGACGCGTCCGAAGGTGCAGACTCGATTCACGCGCCATCTTAGAGGACATCATCCGATGCCTCACAAAAGCGACAACTTTATCCGAGGTACGGAGGGAACTCGTTACTTGCGTGTGAGAGTTCGAACTGTCGTCTGGTGTTGGGGTCCAACGCGCGGAGAGCCAAGGTGGATATGATGACTTCTTCATTTTCCAGAGCCAACGCAGGGAAGCTCGCTTTCTTCGTTTAGCCATACTTTCTCCCACAGCCGCGAGGTAAGCTGAGTGCTAGGAATACTCGCTGCTGGAGGTAGGGGCACTATGATTTAAATACTCTATGATATTGGCGTTAAGAAATGCCGTTAATATTTAAGGCTATTAGTTGATACAACGTAAAAAAAAAAATGATCTAGAGTTCACGTTAGCATTAAAAAAATTAAATTTTCGAAAAGATGGGCGTATGTTTACAGTATTTTCATTCACAAGTATTCCTCACCCGGGGCACCATATATACAATATTGGGGGGCCCGGTGCATTCCATATACCCGGGAGCCCATTTCTTGTGAAATATAAAACGAAAAAAATGTTTGTGAAGGAATACTTGTGAATAATTAACATGATTTACGTACGGTTTGATGAGGGGGCCGGTCTCGCGCCTACTCTCTCTCTCTCTCTCTCCGCCGTTCGTCCTGGGTCCAGGAAATAGCCGAAGGGCTGTAGCTCTGGAGGTCTGGTCAGGAGGTAGGTCGTAAGTCCCCTGGTTGCTCGCTTCGCTCGCTAGCATCTGACTTTTGGCCGTAGATAACGCCGTCTTAGGGAGGGGTACTCCAGGATGAGACCGGGGTATGGTCCAGGGTCCTCCATGTTATTTATATAAGCCAATTAATATTTTTATTGGCGATACTGCATCAAAGTACCTATAGGAGTCACAAGGAGTCCTTGGACATTGTAGTTTACTTTAAGCTATAGTTTATATCCTTATCACATTTCATGTTAATTTAGTCAACCAATAACACCAACTTTGTATAAAATTTCATCATAAGAAACGTTTTTAAAATAATCATTCCTTGTACAATCGATGTCATCAGCTATCAGATTTCAAAAAGGAATAAAACGTTTTGAGATAATAAAATATTAAAAATTGATATTTCGTCCCCCTATTTTAGCGTTTCGGTCACTGTGCGACAAAAGACAACTGGTGAGTCCCACTACTAGACTATGGATTCAACAATTATCAATTACAAACAAGTTGAACTCTCGATAATTCCCTCATATTAATGAGTACCATACATGCAGTACAAGGGATTCCATTCCACGAAGTTAAAATTTTGAAAATTTCGTTAACTCATCTTCGAAGCTAAGAAAAAACAGGTGCAACTTAAAACGTAAAACCTTAAATTTTGAGGGGGAGGGTTAAGTTTTTGAATTTGTTTTGCTTAATTATAATGGTTCATTATTGAAATAATAAACCAATAAATTGAGTATATTTCTTTCTTTTTTCTGCCTTACTATATTTGATTTTTAGATATTAGAATTGAACCCAATATGAGCTATATAACTTTAAAAAAAAAAAAGAATGCTTCAGTCAATGGAGGTTCTGGAGTTCTGCAGTTTGTTTCAAGTGTATTGGTTCGATACCATGCTCAACGATCTCATCGGTTCGATCAAATCACCTCCTTCCACAACAGTTGATCATGAAACATCACTTCGTTAGAAATTAAACTTTTCAAAATTTCTCATTTTAAAATTTATTAGTTAAATTATTTAATTAAATAATCTTTTTTTCCTAGATCATTCATTAAGGGCAAGAAAAACAAAAAGAAATAGAGATGAAGATAGGTAGATAAATCATTCCATGCATTTAAAAGTAGAACACTTAATTCTAATCTATGTAATGTATTATGGTAGAAATATAACCCTTAGCTATAAAAGTCTATAAATATTTTTAAAAGTTAAAATTCATATCATACTTATCTGATAATAACTAGTAATCAGTTAGGTATGAATTTCAATGTTAATATCTCGTTTTAATGTAATCCCTTATTTATATAGAAAGTTTCAAATTGGCCATCCGCCAAGACATAATTTTATAAATATTTTAATAATAAATTACTAATATTTATAAAAAAAAAAAAAAAAAACAATTTCAAAAACGCCTGACAAGTAAAATAGCTTCCTGAAAATTTTCATTCGCTAAAAAATATCTATGTTACAAAGTCTAAACGTTTTTGCTATGAGAATAAAATCTTTTGGAGAATCGTTTTCATAAGTTAAAACCACAGTTTCATAACCACTTTACGTAAAAAATAATATGTGTGTGTGTGTGTATAATATATTATATGTAATAAAAATCATTATTTTTAAACTTTTTATATTTATAAAATAAAATGTATTTTTTGGTAATTATGTTTATGCATCTTATTACACGGATAAACAAGAAATAAAGTCTTTGTAACAGTTAATTGTAGTAATTTTGGTTGAAAACAGGATACGTTTATGTGAATGTACAAAAAATCACATCAGTTCTTTACATAGTAAACCTAATAAACCTCAAGTTAATTAATATAGACCTAAAGCTTATTAAACAAGGAAGTTTTTTTTAAATCGAGGTTAATACAGTACAGTTAAAAGGTGATAAAAAAAGATCACAAATAATTTGACATTTTTTAAACGGAACATATCTGTGTTTGGCTGCCCAATAGAGTAGTTTAAATATTTTTAACAATGACAGACTATACTTCCGTTTAAAGGAAATTTAGTAAAGTTTACTACGGAGCAATGTTTAGTTACTTAAATCTTTTTTTTTTTCTTTTTTTTTTTTTTTTTTTTTTTTCCTCATTGGACTCCAATGACATTTTTACAAAAGATCTCGAGGCCACTGCAGCTTCAACCTTCGAGGAGGACTGTAGGGGTGACTGGAACTGGATAAGGATTGGGCTAATGGATTAGGATGATAGGTTAGGTTTTGATGAAAATTTGAAAATCGGGATGGAATAACGTCAAGGACATAAGGGATGTTAAGGTCATGATGTAAGGTTTTGTTGATAACATAATAAGGAGCATTGACTATTATACGGATGATTTTAGACTGGAAGGATTGGATGCGTTTGATGTTCGATGGTTTAGTTGTCCCCCACAGTTCAAGTCCGAAGGTCCAGATGGGTTTCAGTATGGTCTTATATATTATTAGTTTGTTTTCAATTGAGAGGTTAGATTTTCTGTTAAGTAGTCTGTATAACTGGCCAAGTCGTCGGTTAAGCTCTTGTCTTTTAAGTCTGGTATGTGGGTTCCATGTTAGTCTTTTGTCTAAAAGGAATCCAAGATACCGAACTGTGTCTGAGGTGGGAAGATGTAATGAGTTGAAAAGGATATGTGGACAGGATCTGCGTCGGAGAGTAAAGGTGAGATGCTTGCATTTGGATTCATTGATCTTGATGCGCCAATTGTTGCACCATTGTTCTATTAGGGAGATGTTTCTTTGAAGGTTTAGAGATGCTGTTTCAGGGTCTGGGTGGGAAGACAGGATGGCGGTATTGTCAGCAAATGTTGCTAGAAGGGTATTAGGATGGGTTGGAATGTCAGCTGTGAAAAGGATGTAGAGAACTGGGCCCAAGACACTGCCTTGTGGAACACCAGCCTCAACTGGATAATAGTTGGATAATTCAGTGCCGCAGCGGAATTGAAAGAAACGATTTGAGAGGTAGGATTTGAGGACTAGATACAAGGATTGGGGTAAGCGAGTTTTGAGCTTGAAAACCAAGCCATCATGCCACACCCGGTCGAAAGCTTGCGCTACGTCCAGAAAGGCACTAGTGCAATATTGCTTGTTTTCAAGCGCAGAGGATATATGGTCAACAATGCGGAGGCCTTGTTGAACAGTGGAATGTCTTGAACGGAAACCAAACTGATGAGAGGGGATATTGTGGGTTTCGAGAATAGGTAGGATACGAAGTTGAGAAGGATTTTTTCAAATATTTTCGAGAGGATCGGAAGTAAGCTTATTGGTCTATAGGATGAGGTATTATTAACAGGTTTACCTGGTTTAGGGAAGAGGATAATAATGAAGAGTTTCCATATGAGAGGAAAGTGAGTTGTGCGGAGGGTACAGTTATACAGGTATGTGAGGAACATGATTACTTTTTTGGGAAGTTGTCTAAGGATCTGGGAAGTAAGGAGATCGTGTCCAAGGGATTTTCGAGGTTTCAAGTTGTTTATATGGAATTTGACCTCAGAGTGGTTGACAGCTTTAGGAGGCAAGGAGAGAGGAATCGGAGAAGAGAGGAGTTCTTTAACTTGAGCAGTGTGGATGGGATGGAGTTCGGTGTGGGGAGTGAATGTTTTGGATAGATGTTTGGATAATTCTTCAGCTCTAGTCTCATCTGACGAAGCCCAGGTTTCATCATCTCGTCTGAGTGGGTGGGAAATAGATTGGTATTTAAGGATTATTTTGGTCACTTTCCAGAGGGAGTTGTCATCGGCAGAGAGGTAAGAATGATAGGAATTGTAGGATTTGGATCTAAAGGTTGTCAGTTCTTTTTTAACCCTTTTGGAATAGTAATTATATAATTTCCGATCATCAGGACGCCTGATTCTTTGCCAGAGGGTCCTAGATTGGCGTTTGGATTTAATAAGGTCAGTAAGGTTTTGGGGCAAGGGATTCTTTTTGAGGGATTTTTTGGAGGGGAGTGGTGAGGATGCAGTCCAGACTGCTTGTTGGATCAAGGTGTTGAAGGAACTCACTGTATTATCTAGCTCTTGAGGGGTTTTTAGGGGTACGCTGAAGTTTATTGCATCTGTTATTGTTTGGCGGAAAAGGTTCCAGTTGACTGGGCCTCTGATGAATGAGGGAGGAGATAATTTGGGGATAGGCGATGCGGAAAGGGTTAGGTTTAGCGGACTATGGTCTGAGGAAAGGTCATCGAGCCGTGAAATTGAGAAATTTAGCGGCCCTAGACCTTTGTGAATTAAGAAGTCAAGAAGGTCAGGATTACGGTTAGGATCTATTGGCCAGTATGTAGGAGTATCAGGAGAAAGGATGTTGCTATTATGGGAATTAAGAGCAGACAGCAATGTTCGCCCGCGGGAATTCGTGGTTCTGGCTCCCCATTGCTGATGTTTGGCACTAAGGTCTGCACCTATAAGGAAGTGGTGTCCTAGGGAATTAAGAAAGGAAATTAAGTTGGGTTCAGGTATTGGTTTTTTAGGTGGAGAGTATGCTGCAACAACTGTAACAGAAAAAAGTGAAGTTTGGATAG